ACAGCAGGAGAAAAGACGATGAGTGAAAACCAATCTTCCACGTGATGTTACCGAATGAAACACTGATTACCAACCGATACCGATTTCCACTTATCAGTTCCCTCAAATAGCATGTCATTTCGTTACTACTACAATGGGTGTGCCCAATTCAAAAAAAAATATAATATAAGAATAATGTTTCCTTTAAATAGTCAATCCAATTAATATATGTGATAAACATTATAAAAAAAAAATTAAATAATTGTTTTAATTTAATATCTTTTGAGTATCCTCCTTTATTATCTATCAATATTTTTATTGTTGAACTAAATTTAAAATTATATTCACACAAATTTGCAAGGTATCCATCTCTTTATTTTTTTTAATTAATATTTCCAATCTATTATTATCTACAAAAATAAAACTACATCAAATAAAAAAAAAAATAAACAAATAAATAAACCTATAACAAATAAATTAAAAAATTTGATATCATTCAATTATTTTCTAAGTCATTTTTAATTTTTTTTAGAACAATCCAAATAGTTTGCTCTATAAAGATCATGCAAAAATTAAAATGTTTATTTTTAATTTTAATATATTTTTGGTCCTCCTATTACCTATAAGTTTTTTAATTTTTTATTTCTTAAACCAATTTAAAATTATATTCGTACATAATTTCTCAGAATATTCCTAAATCTTTCTTTCTTTTTATTTAAAATGGTTTGGAATCTTATTTATTATCTACAAAAAATAAACTTGCTATCGATAAATGATAAAAAATAAACAAATAAATTGAACCTTATCAGCGTTAACAAACAAATTAAAATTTTCTATTACTCATACATAATCTTATAGGTATGTTCTATCTCTTTCCATTAATTAATTTTAAAATGGTGAAAAGAAAATATAATTAACCCTTGGTTAGAAAATTTAAAAAATTAAAAATAAAAATAGCTTCAATTAAAAGTAACTCACATTAATCCACCAGTTTGGAAACAAAGAGTGAGAGATAGAGAGTTGTAAGAAGGAGAATTGATCATCACAATTGAGATGATTATATATATATTATATATATAAAGGAAATAAAATAAAAAAGTTAAAAAAAAAAAAACGAAATTAAAAAAAATAAATTAGACTATATATACATAAAGCAATTGCAATATCAAATACGTGGAATACTTGAAATCTAGAATCGAGATACCATCATATGTAGAGAGTGTGTATTAATGAGAAAGAGCGAAGAGAGAAGTGAGAAGAAGAGAAGAGACAATAACCTTGCCACCAGAAGCGCCATAACAATGCTTCACCATGTCTTGAAAAGCTATTATCCACAATTCACTGTATCTCGATCCTCAAAACATGCATTGAAACATTCCCAGCAAATCTTACAAACAAAAAAAATTTTACTCCCACATACACAGAGAGTGAGAGAAGTGTGCGAGCTGTCCGAGCCGAGAGTACGACGAAAAAAAAGTTGTGAAACAATAAAAGGAGAGTGAACTATAAGTTTGATGTTTCAAAATTCAAAAACTGGCTTTAATTTTCTTCCTCAAAAAAATCAATGCTGAATTTTTTATGTAATACTCTACCACCAATGTCAGACCCATTTTCTCTCTCTAAAAATTGAAGACCTATCACTTTTATTTTTTAAATTTTCAATAGTTAGAACAAGACGGGGAAGTAGAATATGGAAGTAGTTCATTTAAATTGGTTATTAGTCCCTACCTAAATGCCACATGCAAAAAGTTTCAAGAAACTAAGTGAGAAGCTCACTGTATATAATAGTATAGATGAAAGATATACAAAAAGCCGGTGTTCACATGCAATATTATATTATCTCCTTAAGGTGTAGTCTTATACCATGTTCAACAAAACCAATAAAGAAACTAAACTGCAAAAAACAATATATGCCCTAAGGCTACAACTTCCAAAGCTAAGCTCGGATCTACACCAAAAAGTGCAAAAACCCAAAACATAATAAAGCTCTTGCTGCCAAAGATACACAAAAGAAGAGCCTCTGCCCTTCAAAACCAATCCACACCTTCAACTAGCGGGATCACCACATCCTTCCTATACAAATCTACTAGGGTTGAGCACAAAGCCTAGCAGAGCATATCTTAACAAATATATAATTTTAAGCAGTCTCATATATGTGAATGCCAATGCCAGTCTATGTTCAAATATCAAAGTTTTCCATTTTCTTTTTTAAAATACATGCAATGTCCGGTTCAAATGTTCATTTCTTCATGAATCAAAATTTAGACAATGGGTGGTAAATACAACCCATTAAAATTCTAAAATAAAATTATTATTTTTTCTTTCATAGAACACCCTAATCACTTAAATATCTATTCTTCATATTTTCAAATCTTTTCATCTTCTTCTCCAAGTTTTCAATTTATGTTTCCATCTTCTTCCTCATTCAAAAACTCTAATCCACCCCATCAAAATTCACCATTATCACTCCTAAAGACTGAATCATAAGCACCAACTTTGAGACATTACTTAAAAGATACTAGCATTTGTTTATCCAAATAAATAAATTTTTGAAATATGTAAAACTGCTAAAAGAACCAAAACCACCCGAAGTTTAAGCTGTTATTACAACTACATATTAAATAATTCGTTGACGATCAAAACATTCATATGTCGTAGTTTTGACCTGCTCCAAACCACCCACCATTACAAAATTTTGCAGAAATATTGTTCCCATTTAAAATAGATTCGTTTGGTCAGTTTGGCCTCTTCCATATGCCCTCCATGAAGACTTCATGAAATCATACATTAAACCTTTCATTTATTTTATTTTTTGCTATCATTTACAAATTATAATTTTATCTTGAAAGCAATTTGTGAAAAAAATAGTGTGCGTTTGAAAGGCGCAAACTATGACTCTAAATAATTGTATTAGAGATTACTAGAAAATTGACCGTACTGAATAATTTATTGGGTGCAAATAGAAGAAATCCCCGTAATTATCTCAAATTTTGTTTCTCATACCTTTTAAAAGCATATTGGGTCCTAAAGAAAACAACAGCAACCCTCATTATTTCAATTAATAAGCATGGTAAAAATCCAACCTTGAACTTGGCCAATCCAATCCAATTTTAAGTGCTGAGGAAGCCCTAATTACCCAACCAATGCATACAAAAAGCCCTAGAATGTTTTTGCACCTATGACGCGTGTATCCTACAAGCGCTGCACAGTTTAACCTCACTAGAACCCGTTTCAAATTCCCAGACAGGGTCAAGACTAAGGCAGAGATCAGCCAGATAAAAAAGTGCACCACCATACACCAGTTTCTTTAGCGAACAATAACATATTTAATCAATTTTATTCACTTTTGTACAATACCATTTCTAAATTGAATCTCTAAAATTGAAGAACAAAAATTAAAACATTAAAAACAAAGTTTATGAAAATCAAATTTAACACTAAATAACAGCCCGAAATAACAAATTTTGAAAAATAAAAACAACAAAACCCTAAATCAAAGTACTGCCGAGAAACCAAAAAACATTATCCATTATTCTGAAACCCTAATCAAGCAAAAATGAATTTGCATAAAATGGTCGCAGAAAAGCACAATGAAGAAACTAATCAACGGTAAAACATACTGACTTATTGAATGTTAGCTTTGTACAAAGATCTTATGAAATACTCTTCAGCTCAGTCCCAAATGTATATCAGCATTATTGCTCTCACGGGAAAACAAATGTTTGTGGGTAGTACCAAAGAGATATCAAGATCTTGAAGTTCTACTTAATAATAAGAGAACAACCAAAAATCTATCTTATCAAAAAACCCAAAAAATCATAGAAAACATAATTGATAAACTTTAATAAAACCATTGAAATTTCAATGAGGAAATTTTGAATTCTTAAACTTTACTTAAAACTTATTAGCAAAACAAGCAGTGTAGCCGGTTAGTTCGAAAAATTAAAACAATTCCAAAAGATGCATTAAAAATCTTTCTCACGCCTTTTAGTTCAGGTCTCCATTAAAATTTTTAACATGGAATTTCTAACAAACGAAAGTTTCTTTCATCATCCATCAGAGCAACAACAATTAATTAACAGACCAAAAAGCATAAAAAAAAAAAAAAGTCATCAATACATTTCAACATAAACCAAAATATTACAAAAATTGTCAGCTAAAAATTTTAAAAACCAATTGAAAATCCTATCAACAACTCCAACAAGTCTTATGCCAAAAATTTAAGGAATAAAACCAAAATCAAAAGTTTGAAGTAGTTTGTTCATTAGAAGTGAAATAAAAATATCATTCCACCAAAATATCAATTATCACATTGTTGAAAAATATCATTGAAAAATAACATTATAAATGAAATTATCATGATTCATTTCACAGGACACTTAAGAAATGAGCATCTGCACTTTATTCCAATGCAATCCACACATAGTATAAATGTCAAAAGAGAATTTCCAAATAAAATGAAAAAAGAAATAAACTAAATTGACAAATTTTATGAACAATTGTGCACAGACACAGTTCTTAATGCACTAGCAAAAAATCATTTTGGCAAAGCTTTTCATTTTATGACAACCCCAAGAAAAGATCCAAATTCAAATAAAACTTAAAAACATACAATACATATCCACATTAAATAAAATTAAAATCAAGACTTCGCAAGTCTTGAATAGCAATCGGTAAACAAATAATAAACCTTATTCATATTAAAAAAAATTAAATAACATAAAAATATATTTACATTTATAATAAAAATTGTTCTTTTCAGTTCAATCTCCATAATATTTCCACATGGGAAATCTGTTCTCGAAAGAACGAAAGTTTTCATTGATCATCATAAGAGACAAAGATTGGACCAAAATAATATTCAATAAAAACTGATTCAACAAAATAAAAAAGTTAAAAAACCAAAATCCCAAAACTATTGAAGAAAAAAACAAACATCAACAAAAATACAAAGAAGAAGAAGCCCAGAAAAAGATCATTCAAAAAACCTTGTGCAGAGACAGATGAATCGAAGATGCTAGTGATTTATAGTTTTCTTCTTCTCGTCAAAACCCTAAGCCATATTAACTAGCCTTTTGTATGCATGTGGGTAATTAGGGCTAGCCTCAGCCTCAGCACTTCGAAGTTTGGATTGGGTGGGCCAAGTTCAAGTGGACTTTTACCCACTTTAATTGAAATATGCAGGCTTGCTGTGTTCCTTCAGGCTCATTATGCTTTAAAAAGTATAGAGAAAACAAATTTGAAATAATTACCGGTGAGGATTCTATTTGCACACAATAAATTATTCAATATGTCATTTCTTTAGTACTCTCTAGTCAAATTAGTTAGAGTTATAATTTGCCTCTCAATACCACTCTAGTTTTTTCCACAACAACCTTTCAAGATAAAATTAAAATTTGTTCAATGATAGGCAAAAAAAATTATGGGCAAAAATTACATATACCTCCCTCGAGGTTTAGCTAAATACAAAATACGCCCCTAGATTTTAGAAATTACATCCCGCCCCCTGAAGTTATGTTTCAAACAAATTACCCTCTAATTTGTATGCGCAAATAGTAGCATTCAGGAAATTTGTAATTTCTCAAAACCTCAGGGAATATTTGTAATTTAGCCAAACCTCGAGGAGGTATATGTAATTTGACCCAATAATAAATAAATAAATGACGTTTAATTTATGAATCTCATCAATCTATTCATGAAGCATATGAATAGCCAACTGAACTAACCAAATCTGTTTAAATAGGACAAATTTCTATTAAAATCTTTGTAATGCGTGGTGGCCGGAACAGCGTCAAAACATGCGTCATTGAATTGTCGATTCACAATTAATTATTTAATATCTAGTCTTGATAAACAGCTTAAACTTTGTAAATGATTTTGTTCTTTAGCCAGTAATATACCACTATTCAAATTTATTTATTTGGATACACAAATTAGTTTCTTTAAGTACTTCTCAAGTTTGCTGCTTTACAGGATGATTCAGCTTTAGGAGTGACAATTGTGTAAATTTGATTGGGTTGATTAGAGTTTGGAATGGGAAGAAGATGAAAACAAATAATTGAAAACTTGGGAAGAGATGAAAAATTTGGAATATGAATTAATAGTTATAATGATATAGGTATTTATAAAAACATATAATATTTATTTAAATTTAATGTGTTATTGTTACCTAAGTTGTTCATTTACCACCCCATTGTCAAAATTTGAATCATGAAAAATATGAACATTGAAGGAACATCGCATGTATTTCAAAAAGAAGTAGAAAACTCCTTGATATTTGAACATTGCATGCCATTGCATTCACGTACATGAACGCTAAAAACATATATGCTTTGTTAAATATTCTATTTGCTTTTGTGTTTCCTAGCGATTGTGTAGAAATGAATGTGATCCACCTATTAAAGGGTGGAGCTGTTTTGAAAAGGGCAAAGGGCTCATCTTTAGTGCATCTTGCAAGCTAAGAGCCTTTATAGTTTGGTTACAAACCCTTTTGTTAGCCGCAGTCTAAGCCTTGCGAAGTTGTAACCCTTTAGACATATGTTTGTAGTTATCTTTACTTTTATTGTTGCCAAATGAATATAGATTCACCCTTAGAGATTGAATATATATTGCATGTGAACATTTTTGTATTATCTTTCATCTATACTATTATTATAAAGAGCCTTTAACTTAGTTGTTGAAAGCTTTTGCCCTGTGCATTTAGATAGGATCAATAAACCCAATTATAACCAATCACTTCCACATTCCATTTTCTCACGTTGTATCTCCCAAACTACTGTACAGTTCAAAAATAAAGTGATGGTCTCCACTTTTTAGAGAGAGAAAATGGTCTTGACATTGCGTTGGTAGAGTCATTTAAAAAAATAAGATAAATTCAAGCATGATTTTTTTAGGAAGCAAATTAAAGCGCAATTTCAAATTTTTGAAATTTAACTTACAGTCACTTTCTTTATGTTCACAATCTTCTTCATTTTGTGTAATTGTGAAGTGAAATTTTGTTTCTATTGTGGGAGTAAAAATTTTGTTGTTATAAAGATTTGCTGGAATGTTTTCTACTGTATTTGAGGATGAGATCATTGGATAATAAGCTTTTCAAACATGGTAAACACATTCTATTGTCTTCTGTACAAAGGTATTGTTCTTCTTCCTTATTTCATCTTTGATCTTTTCATATAATAAAATTTCTAATACTTTGTAGCTATTCTGAATTTCCCAGTATTCCATGTATTTGAATGCAATTCTTAAAATATATATAAAATATAGTTCATATTTTTATTTCAATTTCTTTTATTTACTTTTATTTATTCTTATTTATGATATATATATATATAAATTAATATCAATTGTGAGAAATTTCATTCTCCTTCTCTAAACTCTTTATTTATTTGTTTCCAACTGTAGGTATTAATGTTATATCTTAATGAAGCTATTTTATTTTATTTTTTTAAATTTGCTACACCTAGTAATACAATTTCTTTCACCCATTTTAAAAATTAACAACAGAACAAAAAGATAGGAACCAAAAGACTTAGTATGAGTACACAGAAAAATTTAAATTTGTTGTTAATAGCTGAAAAATTTCAAATTTATTTGTTATTTATATTTATCGATTAGCTGTTATTTGTATAATAAAAAGATTCACAAAAATATTTAAAAATAAAAAAAAAAATAAGATATAGCGATATCTTCAGAATTTATGTTACGAATTATAATTTTAATATGTTAAGCAAATAAAAAAATATAAAAAAATTATAGATAAATAGAACAACACCAGCAATATATTAAAATAAAAATAAATATTTACAGTTTTCATGATCATATAACAAAACTATTGGATTGTTCCTAAAAAAAAAAAATTAAAAAAATGAAACTTAGAAAAATAATTGAAAGATAAACAAAATTTTACATTTATTGTATTATAACTTCAATTTTATTTGTTTATTTTTCTATATTTATTGATTAGTAGTTATTATTATAGATAATAATAAGATTCTAAAAAAATATTAAATTAAAAATAAATAAATAATAAAAAAAGGAGATAGATAACCTTGAAAATTATGTTACGAAATAATTTTAAATTTAGTTAAACAAATAAAAAATAAAAAAAAGTGATATAAAAAAAAAAAAAAAGAGAAGTGAAAGGAGAAAGAGGAAAATGAGAGAGAGAGAGAGAGATGATGGCAGTGGTAACTAATGGTGGAGCTCTAGAAGAGTTAGGCCTCGTTTGCCAAATAGTTGATTTTAGCTTAAAAGTCAAAAAGTTACTAAAAAAATCAAAAAATCTATAACATATACCAAAAAGTCAAAGATTCTCTTTTCTCTCTACCTTTTGCACATCTTTTCGTAAAAAGTCAAAAAGCCACCCCAAACATAGTATTTTTTTTTACCTCATATTTTAGCCAAAAGTCAAAAAGTTACTAAAATAGCATGTTCCCAATTGAGGCCTTAGTTTCAGAGTTTGATTTGAACATAATGTTTGTTTATGATTTTTAAAATTTAATTTTAGTTACTTTTGAAAACGCGGTTGAAGGCGAGAAAATTTGGACTAACCGATTGTCTCACCAGACGTCCGGTCGTCCAGCCAGTTAACCGGAATAGTATAATTTTTTATTTATTTTTTTGTAATTAGCACATGTTAATTTTTATATATTCAATAAAAAAATATTTTTCAAAATTTTTAAAATTTTTTATGAATTTTAATAGAATTTTGAGTTGTGTGTTTGATTATGAGTTGTAAATTTTTTTCTCAAATATTATATGTCACATCAAAAATTCTCCATTCAATTCAAAACTCTTTTGAAAACTCTTTCACCAAAACAAATTTTCCACACTCAAATCATAATTCTAAAACTCACAAACTCAAAATACAACTCAGTGTGTTTGGTTTAAGTTTTTTGGATTAAATTTTTTGGAATAAATTTTTTGAAAACTGAATTTTTTAATTTTCATGTTTTTTTGTTTTTAGTAAATATTTTTAAATTTTTAAACATTTGTTTTTTACTTTTTTAGATGCACCTTACTTAGATGTATCTAAAAAGTAAAAAAATTGTGAAAAAATATTTTAAAAAATTAATAAATACAGAAAAATATTTAAAAAATGTACTGAATCCTCGTATTTTTTTTTTTTTTTGTATTTAGAAATACAAATTTTTTACTTTTTAGGTATGTTTATGTTAGGTATGTCTAAAAAATAAAAATTGCTTAAAATATTTAAAAAATTCAATAAAAACCAAATAAAAAAACGAAAAATAAGAAAATAGAATTTTCTAAAAAATATTTTTAGAAAAGTACAAATTTTTTACTTTTTAGGTATGTTTATGTTAGGTATGTCTAAAAAATAAAAAATAAAAATTGCTTAAAATATTTAAAAAATTCAATAAAAACCATATAAAAAAATGAAAAATAAGAAAATAGAATTTTCTAAAAAATATTTTTAGAAAAGTGTAACCAAGCAAATTGACTCTTATTCTCAAATCATATTTAGAAAACTCTACCAAACACTACCTAAAGGATTTCGACAGTGGCGCCAGAGGAGTTTCAACAGTAGTAATAGAAGAGAGAGAGAGAGAGAAAAGCGATGGTTTGGGCAAAAGGGTTTTGAAATCACAGACAATTACCAATATATGTAAATATATAGATAGGTAATTTAAAGTCCGTTTGATTTAATAATTTCGAATTCGCTTGATTTAGTAATTTAGAATTATAATTTAAGTATTGGATTGTATTTTAAGTTTTGAATTTTTGAATCATATTTAAAAAGAGAAAATTTATTTAATTATGAATTTTGAAAATAATTTAGAAATAGTTTATACTTTTTTTATTTATTGATATATAAAATA